CGTGCGTTACAATTGCTCACCCAAAGAACGGCATGGCTGCGAAGCTTGGCTTTTTCCTGCAACTGCGGTGTAATCCTGGATACTTCTTTAATCCACTTCCACCCGGACTTCCCCCTGGACAAATGATTATCCCTTTTTATCGGTGCATGGGCAACAAATGGGTTTCACAGAATGACAGAAAGTCTATACTGACTGAGTCCACAGATTGCGTGCGTAAGTAAAATATTCTGTAACGAAAGATGTATCATGTACTAGGCAAGGAGGGACTGGGATAAGATTTGGAAGGAGCACGTTCGAACATGGGGACTAACTGTATCTTCTCAAGATACAGATATATATGTTTAGAGGATATGCCTCTTACTAACCGAGTTCAACGTCCGTCCTGTCCGAAATGGACTGAGCTTTTTCCGCTCGAATTTGTGGCCCAAGCGAGAAGTGCGCGAGTCATAAATCCCAGCGGAAAAGAAAGTTGTTTAACGCCAATTTTTAATACTATACGGATTGGAATCGTAATAATCTGCAACTTTATGGCCGGATAAGAAGCTGGCAACTTTTCCATTGAGAGATGGATGTTAAGCTATATACTATCATTAGAAAATTATTATGTCTCAATGCTAAGAATAATCAGTACTCTCGAAAGTGTTCTGATTCATTGTCCTTTCAAAAGCTTGTTGAGGACCAAGACACCAGGAAAAGTCGTTAAATAAGTGGGGAATACGATAACTACCTCTCGCCATTTTTGTTGAAATAAATGAACCTTATGTAAACTGGCCAATTACATGAGAACTAAATCAAATTTTTCTTTTCTTTTCCAGGTTATCAAACGTTCGTGAAAGGATCACCATGCCCCGATGGAAGTTTCAAACAGGATTTTGGTGCTACAAGCATCTGCTGTGAGTAAAATTACTAAGACTGATAACAAACGTCAGTACTCATCATTTCGTATTCTCTCGCTAAAAAAAAGCACCAGAGAAAATTGGAGTGATCAAAAACATCCGCAGCTCCAAGTGTGGGGCCATGATACTAGCATGTCTTTCTCAAATAGGAATTATTTTCCATAAAAGACAAAGGGAGGTTTCATCTTTCATTTATGGTTGTGCCGGTATTAAATGCCACTGGTTCATGAGTACGCTAATCAGCCATAGTAATGCCAGCTGAAATTGCGTCCTAAAGGATAGAAGCTTCCCTATACTTTTTTTTTTTTTAACTGGAAGCGGCTTAAGTATTGCCATGCTAACTTCTAAGAGTGATGAAGAACACTACCCTGTGTGCAGTAACCTCTCCGACATAACCAATTGCGTAGCCTTTTGCCAAAATAGCATTCCTCCTGCACAATTGCAAGCTCTCAAAAAAATAATTTTTACTTCCACAGAAGTTTAAATGAAATGGCAAATAATTTCGTCGCCAATGCCTCTTCAAAAATTAGTACCTGGGTTCCGATACACCCGTAGCTTCTAAAAATTCTTAATAAAATGCGCCGAGAAATTAATACTCGTGATGATGTACAAATTAAAATGATTATAAAAGAGCGACGGTGATAGTTACAATGCAGAGTCTCGGAAATAACTTAATTCAATTTTCCGAGTTTAAATGCATTTGATTGTCAGTTGAAGTACCGATGCATTGTTGTCTGCTCTGCTATTTTTAGTAAACTGTCCATCGGGAACGTACGCTGACACCAAAACCAAATCATGTAAAGAATGTACCCCTGGCTTCTATCAGGACGAGGAAGGAAACATGGGCTGTCTTCCATGCCCGAAGAACACATTCAGTGTCGCAAAGAGAGCTAAATCAGTTGGAGACTGTAAAGGTAGTTTTATGTATTTACATATATGGTTGAATGAGTAACTAGCATGCAGAGTAAGCGTATTTTTAGCGAGCGACTGTTCGGTATTCTCGTGGGAAAAATTATAGCCGCCATCTTTGATTTTTACAGCAGCAGAAGGCTGGGGAGAAAAAGATATTTTTTACCCAAGGGGGTGGGGGACGTTCAAAAAAGGAGAGGGAAGGGAGTGGGGAAAATATGAATTCTTTCCTGACCAAGTACTAAAGCAACAATGTTTTCTTTTCACCAAAGAAGGTTTAAGACATTAATTAAGAGCCACTGACCGAGGAGAATTTGCAGACCTTTATTTTACCTTTGCTAAAAAGACACAAAGTAGATTATTTGAACGGGTCACTACACAGACGTAAACGTCACAAATTGACATGAGCTTCACATCATCAAAAACAAAATTTGAAAGCAGGAATGCATCGCATTGTTGCGTACGACGTTGCATGATTTTTCATTGTTTTACGGGGCGGGCGGCATCTAATCACATTTTGAACTCTTCAATTTTTCGGAGAAAGCAAAGCGCGATAAAAAGGTTTATCATAAGGGTCCTTTAGGAAAAATAAAATTAATTACAAAATTTTGCAACTGTCGGCGGATTCTTAACATTTATGGTCAGTGGCTCTCAGTTGATCATTTTTTTTACGTCTGACTTTTCAGCTGTCTGTAACCCTGGTTACTACTCTACTATTCATGGCGTTGAACCATGCGTTGAATGTCCTATGGACACTTATCAGGACAATGAACAGAGAACTCAATGTCACGCATGCCCAGTTGGAACACATACGGCTAGCACCGGAAGTACGTCACTGGAAGACTGCCTGTGTGAGTATTTCCTTGACTAAGCTTGGATCCTTTAAAAGTCGGCCGAAATAGTTCCTAACTAGAGTGAAAATAACTTCTTTGGTACACACGTGTCTTCAAAAACACGAGGAGGTAAACAAGATAAGTTTCGTGTACATGTCTGATGCAATAGGTTAAGAGTGACGTAGCGAGAAGTTTAAAGCATAGTCGAGCATTGTCGACTAGTTATAAACTCTTCTCCGATCCGGCTTTGCATCTCATCCTTTTCTAATCTATGAACTAAGAATATATGACAATGCTCTAATCTGAGGAATCATTTATGTTTGTTTCCCCTTTGTCAGCTCCTGTTCGTATTACAGACATCATTCCATCACAGGATTATGCAACTTATGAGAATGAAGCCATTTCGCTTGCGTGCTACATAGCAGGAGACCCAACCCCAACAGTTTCATGGGAAAAAGTTGGAGGTAATATATATATAACAAATATAAAACTAAATAAGCACTGCTTCTCTCTGCTCTCATATTTCCTCCCACCATCTATCCCTCGGCTCGCAAAGACTATGCAGTGACGACACTGACTAACTTACGGGGGTGTAGCCAGCCTATATTTATGAAGGCCTGAGCCTACATTTCTTTCCGCCCTCTTAAAATTTAGTATATGACCATTGCAAAGTTTTGAAACAAAAATGAACTTTCTCAAGGCACAACCCTAAAACAAGATAAAAAGCTGGCTATGCCCCTGACTTGGTTAGTCCGTTGAGATACGTTTAGTTTCTTAAGACGGCAGATATCCAGATTTCTCTCTTCGAGCCATGAGGATCGGCGGTATGGCTCCCTTAGGGATTGACGAACGTTAATCCCTCCACTTACCTATTTATGCATCCTCTGTTGCTTAGATTACAGTATAAAGTTTTTAATAATATAGAAAGCAAAATACCAGTACCCTCCAAGCAGCACCGTAAAGCTGCTTCCGTTCAAAACTTCAACTCTTTGAAACTTTTCATGCTGTTTGATTGTCCTCAACTCCACTATGATGCTCAAAAATTCAAATTTTTCTATTTGACTCAATCTAAGACTCCCAGTTTCTTTAAAAACTCACGTTATGTTTCTTGAATCAGTCAAGGGTAATTACAATGTTTTTCATGATTCTTTATCAACTTTACTTCTTTAATTCGCAGGTTCTCTTCCTTCCATGGACCGACTCGCAATTACCAATATATTTGACCTGGATGGAAAGTTGGTCGGTGTAGAATATGTCATATCCACTGCTGTTGTGGCTGATTCTGGTGGTTATAAGTGCACGGCTACTAACAAACACGGTTCGGTCAGTAAGCAGGTCAGAATAAACGTCCAGGCTGGATCACCGCCCGGTATCGTGCCCCAATAGGTAATAAATGAGTTTTATGTTCTTTTTCTTAATATGTCGTCTTAAGATCTACCATAATTAAATTATTTCATAATTTGGAATCTGTACCAGAGCTCGTCACGGAAATGTATGCACCACACCGCGGATCAATGTCTGTATCCCAGCAACTGCGCACCTACATCTGTACTTCCCCCCTTCCCATAACCCAACATTAGTAAACTGATAACAAGTTACTTAGGGTTGATGTTGGGATAGGGGAGGGGTAGGTGCCACACCGCTGTCATGGAATTTCAATCATGGTACAAGTATCGTTTTGTAAATCCCAAACACCATGATTTTCTCCAAGAGAAAATAAATTGTCAAACATCTTTGATGTTAAAAAGTTCTTAAAAAGAATGTGTATCACTAACAGGCACAGCAATTTTTTTCCCGTAACTTGATACATTTGTTTACAGAGAATTTTAGGTGTTTGTCATTTCAATTTCTATGCCTTGGCCAGGGTTTCACTTTCGTAGCCCTTTGCACACGGCCTGGCGAAGTGTTTGTGTCAAGCTTTTTCTAGCTTTGAAGATGCATAACTGTAGCAAGGAATTCGGGAATTTCAATCTACGAGACCAATCAGGCTGGCCACTTAGGCTGGCCATGAGTATGCAGAGAAAAGGGCGGTTGTAAAGCCTGCAAGCAGCCGGCTCTTCTCAGCAGCGCTACAGCATGAACTGCGAAGCCTTCGAGATTTAAGCCAGAAAACGAAGCGAGTGTGCGCCATCTAGGAACCCGCAGGCTTCGCGGTTCGTGTGACAGAGCCTATGAAAACCTAAGCATGCAGACTAGTAGCTGTGCATGGAGGAAACATCTTACACGTAGGCTAGACATCCCTAAGTAACTTTACCAATACTGAGTTGTGTTGACTGTGGTTTATTTCTTTTTTCCTGCAGACTATAGACAACCTCTTGAGTGAGCTATGAAGCGACAGCAGAGCAAATATGTAGGATTTGAATTCACGATTGTTCTTAGCAAAAGGGAATGAGACCCATAGCGTTTAATTATAACTGATATGAAATAGATTTGGCATAAACTTAATAAATGTCGGTTGCAACTGAGGAAAATGTGTACACAGGTCACTTGTCGTGCTACGCTCAAAGTTCGAACTCAGCGTGTGAAAATTTTAGAGCAAATGAACAGATAAAAGCTTACAGCCAAAAGCTCGGTTTTGTGAACCGATTTCAACATCGAAATGGCGATCAAATACACATAATTTCCCATTTTCCATTACTCACTCCTCATTTCGCATCATTTCCATTCTCCGTTCCATGATTAAGTTTTTTGCCAGAGCGTCAGTCCGCGAGATTATTCTTGAATTTTAAAGCAGTAAATCTTTTCTTTTTTTTCCTTCTTTATTCCACATTACTTACAAAACGTACAAAACCCTCTTAAGGAGAGCGCTCAAAAACCTCGAGCATGGAGTAGTGATACAATACAAAGAAATAATTTTGATTAAGAAGCCTCTTTTATCCAGATAGATGTTGGCCTGGGTGTTGATAAAACAGTCAATGGTATATTTAACATGAGCCGATATTATAAGTATGCGAGATGAAGGCCAAAAGATAAAAAAAAGTATCTTTTATGCAAAGGGGAAAATAGAGTTCTTACTCTACCTACTGACAGCGTTCTTGATAGGCTGATGGTAGCCTAATTCTTTCTTGTTTCGTTCTGAAAGTTGAAATAAGCAGGCAGTTTTCGAAAAATTTTAACTTCTAGTACGAGAGAGAAACTAGCGTCCCCTTTTACCTAGAGAAGTGGAACCAGACCTAGGCACTCGCGCGCTGACTTTTTGATAAATCAGACTTGGAACACAAAATCTTCTTCATTGGCTATCATTAGTAAAAGTCAATTTGCCGTAGAGCAACCAGGAGCAAATTGCAACTCATGTTCATGAAACTTGATAAACACGTCGAAGGTAATCTAAGGTCATCTCACGAAGCCGTATCAGTGGAAAGAGCCATTTTACGGAATCAATATTTTTAGTTTAAAAACATAAAAACGACAACCATCCAACACCAGGAGTGAAATGTGAAAGAAAAGCAATCTAACACACAAAAAAGGAAGCAGTTAAAACGGCATAGTTTTACTCCTCTTGGTGTAAAATACGCTATTGATGAAGGAAACTCGTATATCACGGACAACTAACCAAACAAATTAAGTAGAATCACTCGCTTTTTGCTAACTCCAACTGTATAATAGTTGTGCTGTGCAAAAGGCGGTTTTAATATAGTCATGAAAGTCAGAAATCTGCTGGTCTCATTTTCATCTCGGTCCTCTTCAGAAAACGCCTCCAGTGTTTCCAAGCCACTCCATAAGCATAGGAAGAGTCATTTCCATGATGATATCTGCCATTCAGGTTAGAATGGAAGCAATCGTTATACCACCAGGCTCCGTGACGATACTCTGCACAGCTTTCCTCCGGCCACTCATCATTATCTTGATCAGGAGTGCTCCATGGCCGATCACGATGATAAGAGAGAGAATCACCAGCAGATCCTGATGGATTAAATCGTGTCATATAGTTACGCATAACATGATGACATTCAAGACGACAGAATTGCATAAAATCTACAATGCAGTGTAACAATATAAGTATTAAATGAAAATACGAAGTTTGACTGCGTGAAACCATTTGAAAATGTTCTTGTGTTTGGTTATAAAAATATGTGGAATGAGATGCTAATCAAACATTGATGGACCGTTAATTGAGAACGATCCGTGCGCGGGAAGGGTTCTGACGCGTCTAGCTAAAGCAACGGTTTTTGTTTCACTTGCCTGATCACCTTTCCCTTTGTCTACGAGGATGTTCATAGTCTGTTGGCGAATGCCTCCACATTAATCAATGTATAATATGCACTCTCCCTAATTGCATTTGGGTTACTTTGAAGTATTTTATCTTTTTCTTCATCGAGAGCTGCTAATTCCAAACAGGTTACTAACACACTGATTATGACACTGCCCCTCTCCCCAGTTTTACCTGAATAGAAACCGAGGATTAGCCTGTACTTGTCTTTCTCATTCATAACACCAAATATATTATACTCAGCATAAGTTGTATTCCCTTTAAAGTCTTCCAAATCCACACGCAGCATGCTGTTGTTATCTGAGGTCAGGCGGTGAATCTTGTCCAATCCTAACCAAAACTCACCATAAACGTCACCAAAGCCATGTTTGTAGTCGCTCCAGTTACGGTAGAAATCAACCGAGCCGTCCAGTCTCCTCTGGAACACAGTCCATCCTCCACCAGCTGTTGTTTGGTCACAGAATACCTCAAAGGCAGTCATGTTATCAGGTTTGATGGTGTACGTACCGTCAGTTGATTTACCCGCTGATTTGTGGATTTCAGCACAGTTCCTAAAAGCTATGAAGACAAGGAGTAAATTTGGATGTTACTTTATTTTCAGATTTTACTCGACCAGTTAAAACAGAGACACCATTCGAGCTTCAAAGTTCAATTCAATGGTTCTTATAAGTGCATGCTTGTGATTTTGCTTCCGACAAAGAAAGGACGGCTCTCGACATAGTAGGCTTTATTTCACACAACCTTTTTACTTTCAACATATATAGCTGGATTTGATTAACAAAAATTGCGATGAATTTGCCGTATATGGTACTTGCGAGCCGACATCATCGACCTTTCCCCTTTTCGGACATTATTGAACAATATTTTACAAATTGTATTGCACGACGACAAATTCATGATTCAGCGTTGGAAAACAAAACAGTGAAATATCTTGTATAATCAATTGAAAAGATTTAACGATTTTTCATTCTATCTGAATCAATTCAAAGTTTCTGACAAATTTTTGTTTTAAATATTCCTAACAACTGATTCAGTCGTGAAGGGAAATTATCTCTTTTCAAGCATAACCAGCCTCTTCAGTAATATAATTCAATAGTAAATAGTAAACTCGTCAATACAGAACCATTAAAATGAAACATCTCGATTGCCTGACACGGTACCTGAGCACAAGCGTCCATCTCCAGTAAATCCTTCCTTACATGTACAATTATGTGAGCCAATGGTGTTGGTACAGGTGGCATTCACATGACAGTCGTGATTGCCGGTGATACATTCATCGATATCTAGCAATAAATTAAGTTTAAAATGAACTATGATAGTAATTTTATCCGAAGAAACACAAATAAATCTAAATAATAGAGACAGTTGGGTACAAAAACCTTCCATTTCCATGTCGCAATTAACCAGCACAGCCTTTCCATTTCCACTTGGATCCAACCAGTACTTGTTGCTGATGGCATCTTGGCCTTCACTTGCCTTTATTTCCTGGCACGACTTTGCAGGCAGCTGTGGAATGGATCCCAAAGGAGCTGTGATCGAAAACAGGACAAGAAAATGAAAAGCTTCTTCGCAAACGAGGAAAAAAAACTGTTATCGCTGGTACCTGTCTTGAAGTTTCCAGTAAAAGTGTCACCAACCCTTCCAAATAAATTTCCTTCTCATACTGATCGTCTCAGTGAAAAAAACCGGTAAAAAAGTTATTAAAGTAAGTACTACAAAGAAATTTGCGACTTGATTACTACGAGAACAAAAAGATTTATTTGGTAGAAAACAACTTTGGGGGTCAGTGATACTTGTGATGAAAGTCGATTTTTTTAGGTTAGCACTATGTCCCTCAATCAAATGACGGGTATCTCTGAATAATGAAAAAAGATGACATATTTTTAGCACATACTCCTTCCCACAAAACGCGTGTAGTAAAACCGAGCAGGGTCTGGTTGGAAGTTCTCAGGTCTTGCCTCCTTGGTCCGGTTATTCAGTTCACAGGACTTTTCTTCTATCACGTAATTGAAACTTTGGCAGGTGATTTCTCTCTGACAACTCATATCACACTCAGGGATGGTTGTTACTGAGAACTTCTTGAAGACAAATCCCTGCAGAGCCATTCCATTTATGCTATTTGTTTGTGTACATTGTTTACTTGCAGATATGATGTCTATCAAGACGCCAGTATAGAAGGGCCAAACAGCTTTCCACGACATGAATCAACCACTGAACTGCATAGAGGCAAATACAACCAGGCTAGAAGTTGTGATTGTAGTGGCTGTAGTAATAGTAGTAGAAATATTAGCAGCAGCAGCAATAGCAGAAGTAATAGAAGTTCAAGAGAATATTGATATCCTCTTGTAGAAGTATTTATAGTAGTTGTAGAAGTAATAGTTAATAGTCTTAGTAGTGTTAGTATCTCCAAAAGTCTAATTTGAACAACTAAGAAAAAAATAGAACAAGAAAGATGAGCTGGGTAAAGCTCGGATTCTGTACTCCGATGCTTTCCGATGCTTCACCACTGAGCCACAAGGACTCTATACGGTGAGCGAGGCCCATTACGAAATTCATGTGTCTTTGTCCCACCTTCGTGACAAGACGAAAAACATCTTTCTCTATTTCTTTAATGAGCTCAAAAGTCTAAACTGCTAAAAACAATCGATCTCATGGTGGAGTGCAGTACAATTAAACCCTGCTGCGCTCCTCTATACAAGAACAGACAAAGTACTTTGAAATTCTAATTCTAATCCTTTGCGAAATTGTGGATCATCGATATGGTTTACTTCAGTACAAAAATGAAATGGTTAGTCATCTTGCAAATAACTCTATGTGTTTCATTAGACGATATCATGGTAGTTAACATTCAACATTACTCAATTTTATCTTAGTTGGACTGGTCCCAAGCATTCCGTGACTTTTGGATGGCATTTGAGAATTTTAAGCTAAAAAAATTCAAATTTGAAAAGCCTGGTCTAAGACTTCACAGGGGTATCTCTTCCCTTCTAAACTACATAGTGTTTTTCGTTCTTGGAGTTGTTCTTGTGAAAACTATTTGGTGTTGTGCTTTCCTATATAGAATTGTTTGAACTTCTGTAACTACAAGTTAGGTATCTTACAGTCGATAACACTTGAATGAAAATCCATTAAAAATAACTTAGCAAGTCTAACTCAAACATAGATGCAAATTATTTGGTCAAAATATTTTCTGCGGATTATGTTTAATAAGCTAGTCATTGAAATTGCTGTGACGTGTTACATTTTCAAAATTATCGCGCACAAGAGAAATTCTAACAAAAAAGTATAGAGGCTTAATTTTTCAGGACTTTTTTTGTTTAACACATTGTGTCACTTTGCCATTTAAAGCGAGTCCGAATCGGAGAGAATGACAATCCAATGTTTTACTAATTTGCTCGATACAAATTATCTTAAACTGCAACAAAGTTTAAAGCGGGTTTTTGCAATCATTGCTGCAATCGGCGCAATCGGTTTTGAGCAAGAAAGGCTTGGTCGAAGACTTCACAAGGATATCTCTTACCCTCTGAATGACAAAGTGTTTTTCGTTCTTGGTTTTGTTCCTAGGGGGTATCAATATTGAAAACTTTTTGGCGTCGTGCTTTCCTATATAGAACTGTTTGAATTTCTGTGACAATGGTTCCATAAAAAAACCGCTCTTTTGTGCGCCACAGTCCTTCTTCTTATCCAGCTGATCTAATTGTTATCAGTCATCAGATAATAGCTTCTGTGTTTAAATCTAAATGACTGATATCATCTTAGTACTCCTATGTATCTCACAGTCAATGACATACTTGAATGAAAATCCATTAAAAATAACTTAGCAAGTCTAACTCTTAAACATAACTGCAAATTATTTGGTCAAAATCTTTTCTGCGGGACAGGTGAGAAGTTTTAGAACTTCACAATATTGTTCTGTTTTCCTGGGAGATAATTAAGGTGTTATGACCGATTTATGTCTTTCAAATTATAAATTAATGAAAATATGAATTTTTAGAACTACACGATGTGTCGCATTTTCCTCCCAAGTCAGCTCTGGTGTTATGTATGTGATTATGGTTTTTCAATTTACAAATTATCTTGCAAAAGATGCTTTCCACAAAATTACTCGATAAGTTAGATAGAAGAAACAGTATTGTACAAAAAGCACACTGTGCTATCGCAAACTTTAGAATAATTTTTGCCTAAAGATTTTGAGCGGCTTTTTGCGGTATTGTAAGATGCTATTTCGGTTACGCTGAATATTGGAGCCAGAGAACTTTTTTTTTCCAGGGGAGCACATTCTAGGCCTCTTCTCCACCGTGGATAAATCGATGCACCTGTGATGTGTCCGAGCCAGAATTCTCAAAAAAAAAAAAACAGACTACGAAAGCTCAAATTTGCGTTTAATAAGCTAGTCATTGAAATTGCTGTGACGTGTTACATTTTCAAAATTATGGCGCACGAGAGAAAATTCTAACAAAAAAGTATGGAGGCGTAATTTTTTCAGGACTTGTTTTGCTTAACACATTGTGTCACTTTGCCATTTAAAGCGATTCCGAATCGGAGAGCATGACACTCCGATGTTTTACTAATTTGCTCAATACAAACTATCTTAAACTGCAACAAAGTTTAAAGCGGGTTTCTGCAATCATTTCTGCAATCAGCGCAATCGGTTTTGAGCAAGAAAGGCTTGGTCGAAGACTTCACAAGGAAATATCTTACCTTCTGAATGACAAAGTGTTTTTCGTTCTTGGTTTTGTTCCTGGGAGGTATCAATAGTGAAAACTTTTTGGTGTCGCGTTTTCCTATATAGAACTGTTTGAATTTCTGTAACTATGGTTCCATAACAAAGCCGCTCTTTGTGCGCCACAGTCCTTCTTCTTGTCCAGCTAATCTAATTGTTATCAGTCATCAGATAATAGCTTCTGTATTTAAATCTAAATGACTGATATCATCTTAGTACTCCAATGTATCTCACAGTCAATGACATACTTGAATGAAAATCCATTAAAAATAACTTAGCATGTCTAACTCTTAAACATAGCTGCAAATTATTGGTCAAAATATTTTCTGCGGGACAGGTGAGAAGTTTTAGAACTTCACAATATTTTTCTGTTTTCCATGGAGATAATTAAGGTATTATGACCAGTTTTATGTCTTTGAGATTAATAATTAATGAAAATATAAATTTTTAGAACTACACGATGAGTCGCATTTTCCTCCCGAGTTAACTCCGGTGTTATGATTATGGTTTTCTAATTTACAAATTATCTTACAAAAGATGCTTTTCACAAAATTGCTCGATGAGTTAGACAAAAGAGACAGTATTGTACAAAGAGCACACTGTGCTATCTCAAACTCTAGAATAAATTTTTGCCTTAAGATTTTGTGCGGCTTTTTGCAGTGTTGTAAGATGTAATTTCGTTTACGCTGAATATTGAGGCCGGTAAACTTTGTTTGAACACAAGCGTTAAACTATGGTTCCATGACAAAACTGCTATTCTATACGGCACACTCCTTCTTCTCGTCCACCTGTACTAATTGTTGTTAGTCATTAGTTCATAGCTTCTGTGTTTAAATCTAAATGACTGATCTCATCTTTGTACCCCTATATATCTTACAGTCAATGACATACTTGAATGAAAATCCATCAAAACATTTTAGCAAGTCTAACTCTTAAACTTAACTGCAAATTATTTGGTCAAAATATTTCTGCGGGACATGTATGAAGTTTCAGAACTTCACAATATTTTTCTGTTTTCCATGGAGATAATTAAGGTATTATGACCCGTTTTATGTCTTTCAGATTAATAATTAATGAAAATATAAATTTTTAGAACTGCACGGTATGTCGCATTTTCCTCCCGAGTTAACTCCGGTGTTATGTATATGATTATGGTTTTTTAATTTACAAATTATCTTGCAAAAGATGCTTTCCACAAAATTGCTCGATACGTTAGACAGAAGAGACAGTATTGTACAAAGAGCATACTGTGCTATCTCAAACTCTAGAATAATTGCCTAAAGATTTTGTGCGGCTTTTTTCAGTGTTGTAGATGTAATTTCGTTTACGCTGAATATTGAGGCCGGTAAACTTTGTTTGAACACAAGCGTTAAACTATGGTTCCATGACAAAACTGCTATTCTATACGCCACACTCCTTCTTGTTGTTGTTAGTCATTAGTTCATAGCTTCTGTGTTTAAATTTAAATGACTGATCTCATCTTTGTACCCCTATATATCTTACAGTCAATGACATACTTGAATGAAAATCCATCAAACTTAACTGCAAATTATTTGGTCAAAATATTTCTGCGGGACATGTATGAAGTTTTAGAACTTTACAATAAGGTAATTAAGGTGTCTCTCAAATTAAAAATTTATGTAAATATAAATTTCTAGAACTACACAATGTGTCGCATTTTCCTCCAGAGTTAACTACGGTGTTATATCGCAAACTTTCGAATAATTTTTTCCTGATCATTTCGAGCAGCTTTTCGCAGTGTTGTAAGAGGTAATTTCAATTACGCTGAATAATGACGCCGGAAAACTTTGTTTTTACCAGGAATGCACATTCTAGGCTCTTTCTCCACCGCGGATAAATCGATGCACCTGTGATGTATCCAGTTCGAGCCAGACTGAATTCTCCGAAAGAAAAACAGACTGCGAAAGCTAACACATTTATGTTTAATAAGCTAGTCATTGGAATTTCCGTGAAGTGTTACATTTTAAAAAGTAGACAATCAAAGGCTGCATGTGGCTACTGATAGAGCACAATTTTAAAGAACTAGAAGTTGTATAATGACGCTGGAAGGTACTGTTGCAGAATATTAGTCTCACAAGCAAAACAGAAAACTTGACGCTTCCCAAATATTAATGAGAACCCTGTTCCGAAGAAAGATGAGCGACAGTAAAAATGATAATAATAATAGTACAATAATAATAATAATAATAATAATAATAATAATAATAATAATTTATAGGGGCTAACTTGAAAGCCTCATGGTTCCCCTATCCATAATTCTCTATACCTCTTTTAATTTCCCTGTTAATCATAAACAGCTTTCTTATTTTATTGCAATTCCATTTTTTGAGACTTTTGTTTCATGCAAAAAGGCTTTCCTCGTTTTAGGATGTTCATCCACTCCGCATCTTTAGATATTCCGCCATTCCGCCCATCCACCGTTCCTCCGTTCCATCATTCTGTTGAATAACTCAAGTTAACGAATCTCGCAGCTTGCTCGCTTTGCAAATTTAGCGGCTCTTTTCGACATAAGTCGCTGATTCAAACAGTAAAATGCCCGCTTTTCAAAGAAAAAAATATTCTCAAAGTGTGTAATCGTGTTTGACACCAATCATACCGCTATTACCGCTATAAACATGCTATTTTAGAACGATTGGGTGATTACACAGGAATCCCAATTAGGAAACAACAATAATCTCACGAACTTGAGGCAAGTATTCTGCTGGGCTTCCTGCGTATCACTCGTATACCAACATGCATTCATACATATCTTATCAAAACCCAGCACTTTACCTAAAATTACATTAGGGTGCTCTCTAACTTTGGAGTTACTTCGGACACAAAATTAAAATGAGGTGGAATCAACACGTTCCTGACATGTCTTCTAAAGCTAACAAGACCTTACATCTGATCAAAACAAAACTTCTGGTTTTGTGAACAAGACACCAAAAAGCCCTTGCATAAAGTGCTCGTCCAACCCTGTCTGAGGCCCAAACTACCGATATGATATAAATAAAGTAGAGAATATTCAGAGGGCAGTTGCTCGTTTTTTCAAAGAAAGATTATAGACATACGTCTAACGTAACCTCTATGGTCAAAGAGATGGAATAGGAATCCCTGGCCTCTCGCCGCAAAAAAGCTCGCCTCTGCACAATGTACAAGATTTCAAATGACATCGTTCATATTAACAAGTCTAAGAACTTAACAGAAACTCAAACTTACGGAACGATAAGCGATCATTTTTCCCTCATCCAGTGCTAAAGGCCATCGATCTGTTAACGGCAAAAGGAGAAATGCAGGTGAATCTCCCTTTCTGAAACCCCATTTATTTAAGAATATTACATTATAACCATACAAGAAGCTATCAAGCTGTTTACTTATCACTTATTTGAGCCCGCAAATAGTTACATTGTTTCAGCTCATTGTGACTGAATTTAACTTCGCACCTCGAGAGAAATTGCGCCGAAACTCTAATTGCTTGTGAAAATAAGAATTTTTTGTTTTGCAAAGTACTTACAGCTAAGTTTGTTTTCTAGTGTAAGTACTTGAATGACCTTATCGCAAAAAAAGACGGTGATGGTGAATGAGGACGTGGCAAAACAAGAGCTCTAATAAGCAGAATAACAGCTCAGCAAGTGCCTTTTAAAACTTCGCACATTTCTTAGCCGTCTTCCGAAAAACAACGGCGTGAAATCAACAAAATTTGTGATATGTAAAGGAAAACTCGGCGGCAAATTATCTAAGTTTCTATATAAAAATCAACGCGTGGCTCACATTAGTTACGTTGAAGTTGAACTGTGGCGTCGTAGGAAACCGTGAACACATCCAGCCATTCGCAAAATTCTAACTTAAAATACAACTTAATTTTTATATCGACGTCCTTCTCCGCGATGCCTACCGCTAAAGGTCCTAAGTGCTAATCAGCCGACTGCAAACTTCTTAAGTAGAAAGTCAGACTGCCTCAATACATTTCAATCTCATGAAGTTAACCTGTATACTTCACGAGTTTGCTTTTGATGAGTTGTTACCATACGGTTTCATGATTAGACAGTTTTAACTTCTTGGGTATGATAAACCAACTCAACAAGTTAAAAGGTAGCTGATTGGCTTATTTTGTACTAATCAGTTCATTCCAGATTCTTTTTTGGTGTTCCAAAAAGGTTTTAGCCGGTGTTTACTATAAAGACCTTTGCAACTTGGTTACAGCGAGAAAAAGGAGATTTATTTGATAGAAAACAATTTTGAGGGTTAGTGCATGACACTTGTGATGAAAGTCAATTTTTTTCAGTTGGCACTATGAAGAAAGATGAAGTAAATTTAGCACATACCCCTTCCCACAAAGCGTGTGTAGTAAAACCGGGTAGAGTCTGGTTGGAAGTTCTCAGGTCTTGCTTCCTTGATCCGGTTATTCAGTTCACAGGACTTTTCTACTATTACGTAATTGTAACTTTGGCAGGTGATTTCTTTCTCGCAACTCATATCACACTCATGGATGGCTGTTACCGAGAACTTCTCGAAGACAAATTCCTGCAGAGCCATTCCACTCATACTCCTTCCTTGTCTGCATTGTTTACTCAGTTGCAGATATGATGTCTATCAAGACGCCAGTATAAAAGAGCCAAGCAGCTTTCCACGACATGAATCAATCACTGAACTTTATAAGGGCAAATAGAAGTAAGAGTAGACGTTGTGACGATAGTGGCCTAAGTAATAGAAGTATAAATAGTAGAAGTATAAGAGAATATTGATATCCTTTTGTAGAAGTACTAACAGTAGTTGTAGAAGTAGTAGTTAATAGTATTAGTAGTGATAGTATCTCCAAAAGTCTGATTTGAACAACTGAAGAGAGAAATAGAATAAATGAAAGGGAGCTCGGTAAAGCTCGGATTCTGCACCCCGATGCTCTCCGATGCTACACCACTGAGCCACATCACGGATTCCATGTATCTTTGTCTCACGCTCGTGACAAGACGAAAAACATCTTTCTCTATCTCTTTAACGGGCTCAAAACGTACCATCTTTGTTATTCCATTTACAAACATGACGCTATCATACATGAGCTTCGTAATGGGCCTCGCTCACCGTAGAGTCTCTGTGGCTCAGTGGTGAAATGTTACCCGAAAACCTCATTTCTCCTGGGTAACCAGGATGAAGAAATAATATCATGGAAATTATTGACATTTACTAGAATCCGAAACAGCAAAACGAAACGAAACAAGCGAAACGAT